CAGCTCTGTCCTAGGAGAACTCTACTGGGTGCTCAAGGTTAAAAAATTTTATTTAAAAAATAGATATGATTTTAGGCACTAGAAAAAAAAAGGTAGGACAGGATGAGATAGTGAAGAGTCAAAGTTGTATTTATATCCGGTTCATCCCAAAAGGATGTTATACATATAATAGGGGAGGACAAAAAAACATAAATCTCATGAGCCGTTTGATAATGGCAACATTTATTAGTGATAGGTCCTTGACATTGGGATGGATAAAATATAATCTAAGAAAAAGCTTGTTTATAATAAATAAGAAGCCAGTATGAATATACTATGGATCTCCCTGGAACAGGAACTGGCGGATAATCCTACATATGACATTATTTTTTAATACATATTAACAGGGGGGGTAATAGTGTTATCTAGTAAAGCGAACTTTTATTAATTTAATTTAAAAAAGGGGTTACATAATAAGAAATAAAAATTAACCTCTCAATGTAATGGGATAAACATACATAGTATATTATTGTAGGTCCCACACTATTAGCCAGGACTTAAAAGTTACTTGCCACTGCAAATCTGGAGTCTGACATATCAAAAAGGGCAAATTTTCACTCACCAAAGGTTAGTGGCAGGTGGAAATTTTGAACCCTGGGTGATGAATAATATGTGTGCATTGCAATACCTGTTATGTGTTTGTTCATTGTTATGCTTTTAGAATTTGTTATAACATTCTTTTTGTAATGCCTATATTTTAAATACTTTTTTGCATTTTAGAATTCGTTATAACAAAATTTGTTTTGTAACTCTTCTGTTTTACATAATTGTTTTGCTTTTTAGTATTTGTTATAACAAAACTCTTCTTGCAACTCCTCTTTTTTAAAGGAACACTGTAGGGTCAAGAACACAAACATGTATTCCTGACATTATAGTGTTAGAAACACCATCTAACCCCCCTGCCACACTTACCCCCCTAAATAGAATACAATCTTACCTTTATTGCATTCTGCTTCTGCAAACTCTGCCTCTGATCTGCCTGTTTGGCTGACATCATCAGAATTGTTACATAGTTACTTAGTTATATGGCTGAAAAGAGACTTGCGCCCATCAAGTTCAGCCTTCCTCACATTTGTTTTATGCTGTTGATCCGGAAGAAGGCAAAAAAAAAAAAAAAACATTTTGAAGCACTTCCAATTTTGTAACAAACTAGGAAAAAAAAGTATTTATTGACCCCAGAATGGTAGTCAGATTAATCCTTGGAACAAGAAGCTATTACCCTACATTGAAAAATTATATCCTTGAATATTCTGTTTTTGCAAGTATGCATATAGTTGCTGTGTGAACATCTGTATGGACTCTGATAAAACCACTTCTTCAGGCAAATAATTCCACATCCTTATTGTTCTTACAGTAAAAAAAACTTTTCTTTACCTTAGACAAAATCTTCTTTCTTCCAGTCTAAATGCATGATCTTGTGTCCTATGTAAAGTCCGGTTTGTGAATAGATTTTCACACAATGGTTTGTATTGGCCCCGAATATATTTGTATAATGTTATCATATCCCCTCCGAGGCATCATTTTTCTAATCTAAAGAGATTTAAATTTGTTAACCTTTCTTCATAGCAGATATGTTCCATTCCTTTTATTAATTTTGTAGCCCGCCTATGAACTTTTTCGAGTGCCATAATATCCTTCTTTAGAACAGGTGCCCAAAATTGCATCTTCCATATGGGGTCTTACCAGTGATTTATAAAGAGGTAAAATTATATTCTCATCCCAAGAATGAATGCCCTTTTTCATGCATGACAAAACCTTACTGGACTTAACCACTGCTAATTGACATTGCATATTGTTGCATAGTTTGTTGTCAATAACAATTCCCAAGTCCTTTTCATGTGTTATCTCTAATTCGCTTCCATTAAGGGGATACGTTGCTTGTGCATTCTTTACGACAAAGTGCATAACTTTGCATTTTTCAACATTAAATTTCATCTGTCATTTGAATGCCCAGTCCCCCAGTCTATCTAAATTCCTCTGCAGCAAAGTAATATCGTGCTCACGTTGTATTACTTTAAAGAGTTTTGTGTCATCTGAAACATGACTTTCAATGCTTGTTTCAAGATCATTTATAAACATATTAAATAGAAGTGGTCCCAGAACAGAACCCTGAGGGACACCACTTGCCACTTTTAATTTACCATTAATGACAACTCTTTGTACTTTGTTCATATAGATCGATTTCTTTGAGTTTGAACACTAATCTATTGTATGAACCTGTATCAAATGCCTTGGCAAAATCCAAATCAATCACATCCACTACAACACCCGGATCTATACTTTAACCCATAGGAAAGCATTGGATTGGCTGAGATTGTCAAGGAGGCAGATCAGGTGCATTGCCAGCACAAGCCAAACATAGACCTGGCCAATCAGTATCTCCTCATAGAGATGCTTTAATTCATGCATCTCTATGAGGAGAGTTCAATGTCTCCATGCAGGGGGATAGATAATGAATGGCACACTGTGCAGCATTGCCCCAGGAAGCACATCTAGTAGCCATCTGAGGAGTGGTCAGTGGAGCTATCCCTGGGCTGTAATGTAAACACAGCATTTTCTCAGAAAAGACAGTGTTTATTGCAAAAAGCCTGAACAAATGCAATAAGTTGTAGTTGTTCTGGTGACTATAGTGTCCCTTTGAGTATATTAATTAATTTTGGATGACATTATTAAAATATTATTTTCTCTTAAACAGAGCAGTCTCTTGTGCATCAGAATTATTATTTATGTATTTGTAAAGGTAAGTCTCTCAGTGGCCTAGACTTCTACTTTTCTTTTCAAATAAATTTTATTTAAGTTTTTAAAAAAACTTTGGGAACATCATCTAGGAAAATAATAAATATGTATGAAGAAAATTAGGACATTATAAAACATACACAAAAATTTGGTCTTTAAAAGTTGTAAGATATATAACAAGCCATAAACTGTAGAACATTTTTTAAATCTAAAGTCTTATGTTAAAATGAGTCACTTAAATAAAAAAACAGTATATTTGCATCCTCTAATCCCTATAAACCACACTGTCTCACCATGTGAGGCACCCAGTCCTCTTACAAGAAAAGTAATTTTGATGTCACAGAATATGGAAGACATCATATTGCATATACAGGGGTGGCCCTGTATGTGAAGGATAGCATAAAATCTAGCATAATAAAAGTTAGTGAGGTGAACATAGAGTCCGTTTGGGTTACGTTAGAATTTGGTAATTACACAGTAACTCGTGTAGGTGTGATTTATAGGCCCCAGGACAAATTGAAGAGTTAGATAATCTACTAGTTGAGGAAATAGCTAAAATGACAATGAAGGGGGAAGTTATCATCATGGGTGACTTTAATCTAACTTATGTGAATTGGAAAACAAAAATAGCTGCTTGTGCCGGGAGCACACTTATTCTAAACTCCCTATTGCGATTGTCTCTAAAACAAGTCGTTGAGGAGCCAACTTGTAAAGAGGCCATACTAGATTTAGTGTTAACAAATGGAGATTTGGTATCAGATATTACTGTAGGTGAAAGTTTAGGATCCAGTGATCATCAGTCAGTGTGGTTTAATATAAGAACAGTGACTGAGTCACACCACACAAAAACTAAAGTTTTAGACTTTAGAAAAACAGACTTTTCTAAAATTAGACTATGTGTAAATGAGTCATTATCAGACTGGAGCAATTTAAATGGAGTCCAAGAGAAATGGGATTATTTAAAAATTGCACTACTGAAGGCAACAGAAAATCAGGCTTGCATTAGGCTTGTCAGTAAAAGCAAAAAATTCAAGAAACAACTGTGGTACTCCGCAGATGTGGCCAAAATAGTAAAAAACAAAAAGTTAGCATTTAGTAATTATAAAAAAAACAGAATGAGGAAGACAGAATGATTTATAAGATTAGGCAGAAAGAGGCTAAGCAAGTTATAAGAGCTTCCAAATCACACACAGAAGAGAAAATAGCACAGTCAGTGAAAAAGGGGGACAGAACTTTTTTTAGATACATAAATGAGAAAAGAAAAGGAAAACAAGGATTAGTTAGATTAAAAACAAAAGAAGGAAGATATGTAGAAGAGGATAAAGATCTAGCTGACTGCCTCGATGAATATTTTTGTTCAGTATTTACAGCTGAAAATGAAGGAAAGGGACCTCCGTTAAGAAAAAGGATAAATGAGTCATTTATTACACGTGAGTTTACAGAGGAAGAGGTTCTATTTCATCTGTCAAAAGTAAAGACAAATAAGTCAATGGGACCTGATGGAATACACCCAAAGCTGTTAAAATACCTTAGTGGTGTATTAGCAAAACCATTAACAGATTTATTTAACCCCTTAAGACCGGAGGGCGTACAATTACGCCCTATTTTAGGTGGCTCTGTATGCCCTCCGGTCTTTCTTTACTTACCCGGTCGCTGGCGGTCCCACGCCGGCGATCGCGGTGGGGGAGACTCCCAGGGAGCCCCCCCGCGGCAGATCATCCTCCTCCGGTGCCCCCCGGCCATGTGAGAGTGAGGACCTTGCGAGGACCCCACAATCACATGGCCGGTATAGCTGGCTTCTGTATTGCCAGCAGGGGGGCTGCCTATAATTACAGGTGGTCCCCCTGCTGGCTGGAAATAAAATTAAAATAAATTAATTAAGTGTAAAAAAAAAATATATACATACACACACATATACTCTCTAGGTGTATTTTACTATTAATATATATCTAATTATATATATATATATATATATATATATATATATTAATATCAAATTACACGTAGACTGATACTGATTAAATATATATATTATATATTTATATATAATATAAAATAATTAAATATGTAAATACGTAAAAAAATAAAATTAAGGGGAGCGGAGCCTAACATCGGAGGAAGATGGACGCGTAATCCCGCAGCTCCCTCTCCCCCGAGCACTCAATCAGCCACCATCCGCATCACCTACGGCTCCAAAACACACCGCAGAAAACACGGCTACAGCGATGGCAGGTGGGAAAAAGAAAAAGGAGCTACCTCCATCGGTAGCAACGTTATTCCGCACTCCAGGAGAGGCGCAGAGGCCTACCCAATCCAACCACGAGGAGGACAAGGGATCTGATTCGGAATGGGGCGCCCACACACCAACACCCTTGGCCCCTCTCACCATAGGGGTCCTCCAGTCTTTGTTAAGAGAGGCCACAGCAGACATTAAAACCCATGTGGCCGAAGAAATCAGCAAGCAACTAACAGGCCTCAGGGCGGACGTGGAAGCATTGACTACCTGCACTGACCAAACAGAGGTACGTCTAACCACCCTGGCGACAGCCTCCACAGCACAATCCCAGGAGATCTCTTACCTCCATGGCCGCCTAACTGCAATGGAGGACTCCCTAGAAGACCTAAATAATAGGTCACGTAGAAATAATATACGGATCCGGGGCCTACCGGAATCAATACCACCAGAATCCCTAATGGTAACCCTAAAAGGCATCTTTGCAAAAATGGCCCCAGAAATACCATCACCACTACTAGAAATAGATAGTGCTCATAGGGCCTTGCGCCCCCGTACTCTGAACATATTCACCCCCAGAGACGTAATAATACGCCTGCATTACTTCCAAACAAAAGAGAAAATCATGCAAATCGCCAGAATCCACCCACCACAATATGCCGGCGCTCATATAACACTCTTCCAAGATCTAGCCCCTACTACCTTAAAAAAGAGGCAAGACTTGAAACCCCTCACACTAGCCCTGCAAGAAAGAGGCATCAAATATACCTGGGGACACCCCTTCAAACTCCTCATTCGAAAAGAAGACCAAACCCACATCCTCATCTCTGCTGCCGAAATAGGCCCTATGGCGGACTCCCTAGGAATACAACTACTGAACCAAACTACCCTCTCCAACTACAGGGGAAGGGACCGCTCCAGAGACCGACCAAGGTCACCGCGCCCAGCCAAACAGCAAAGATTCCCACAGACGACAAAGGGGATCGATGGTGAAAGACATGAGGAGGAAATACCACCACCTCACAGACAAAACTAAAAGGCCTCCCCCACACCTAACAGAACTCCAACATATATAATGCACAGATACCAACCCCACAAAAAGGGAAAACCAGCACCCTATGACTAAACTCGCCCCTGAAGAACACACAAAGACTTCACCCTACCCCCCGAGGGCTCACCGGAATCCACTGACCATCTCTGTCGCCTCCTGAATTCTCCAGCTCCCCGATGAACCAAATAAATCCAATCATCGGAGGAGAGCGGAGAGAAAAGAAAAAAGACAAGATTACGACGCTCCACCCTTGTAACACACAAAGAAAATGAGAGAACCCAGAATACTACAACTCCAGCCTGACCACAACAATTGCAGGGAACAGGACAATATGGACATTTGGTGCTTCCCCCACCCTGCGTTCCCTGCTCTGTGATGACAGACTCCTTGCCTGGATAATACGTAATGTACCTAGACAATCAGAGCGAGGGGGGGGAGACAGAAGGAAAACAATAAACATTCATTAGTGGGGGGGGGGGGGAGACGATCCAAAGGGGGACACGGCCACATGGAAAGCAGGGCACCCCGGACCCCCACACCACAGAAATAACTAAAGGTACCCAACCGGACAAACACCTATATATCAGAAAACGAGACCTAGAAAATCCCAAATAGAAACACACAAACAGAAAGGGGAAAAAGAGGGAGAGGAGGAAAGGTAGACAAAGACACAGAGGATTCCACACACCCCTGGATCCCACATCATAAATGGGAAGGCAACGAGAGGAGAGAACACACACTGCTAGGGGGAGTGAGAGGGATAATCAAGGCAGGTAAATAGACATACAAAAATATACACCTGCAACCGGCAACAGGGAAGATGAAGGGTGCAAGAATGACACGAATAGACTTAGGTATATAACTGGCAAGTACAACTGACTGAACGAATAGTCCCAAAGAGACCCGAAGGGCACAAGCAAGGGGGCTACCACATGTATCAGAAATGTTTATGTCTAAGTAAATGTATATATGTTGATTTCTACTGTTTTTCCAGATGAATCCTCTTCGCAGGATACACACCACTCACCAACACCAGCCCACGAAGAACACTCACCAGACCACCGAACCTCAGACCGCAAATCCAAGAGCCACCCACCGAGAAACACAGACAACTACACGACTGACAAACACCGTGAGTGATACACCACACCCAGTGCGGGAAACGGAGATGTGAAAAACCTTCCTTTTCCCTCCTTCACCCCAAACCACACTTTTCCCACACACCTTAAACTTAAAAGGCACCACACACAACCCCCAACCACACCTGGCAAGCCCATAGTAAGACCAGGGTAAACACCCACACACCCCCCCCACACTCTACTACCCCCACCCCCCCAACAAACCACCCACCCCCCACACTATCCACCAAAACCTCACCCCAAGGGCAACCCACACACTTAAAAGCGGTAATTCCAACCCCAAATCCTTCACTACCAAACCTGCACCCCAACTCTCACGAACCACCAGAGATGAGAAAACTAAAAGGCATCTCCCTTAACTGCAAGGGCTTAAACAACCCCGCAAAACGCCATCAATTAATGCGATGGGCCAACAGAACAGGGGCTGACATAATAATCCTCCAGGAAACTCACTTTGAGGCAGCAAGACCGTTCCCGCTCAAAAACAGACATTACAAGGAATACCACCTAGCAAACTTCCCAAACGGAAAAAGAAATGGAGTTGCGATACTAATTCGCAACACATGCCCCATTAGCTTTAAACAAACCACTGCTGACCCACAGGGCAGATACCTAACAATAGCGGGCCACCATGGAACACACAAGTACGCACTAACGACTATCTACGCCCCCACTATCCCAGACCCACCCTTCTGGTCAGCCTTACGAGCACACCTAAAGCTATTCCCCTCCTACCATTCTCGGAGGGGACTTCAATGCAGTCCCAGCACCCCAACAGGACTGAAAACGCCACTCACAACTTACCAAAACAATCCCCAAAATGACGACCAATGATAAACTACTCTCGACCTTTATAATCCAAACAGGCCTCCAGGACATATGGAGACTACAAAATCCTACACTAGCAGACTTTACCTTCTACTCAAATCCCCACTTTTCCTATTCAAGGATCGACCTGTTCCTGGTCTCCCCCTCACTCCTCACCCACGACACCACAACATCGATAGGCACAATCACGTGGTCTGACCACGCGGAGATATCCCTCACACTATCAATCCCACAAACAGCAAGATCGTGGTCGTGGCGTCTTAACCCCACCTTACTGCATAAACCTGAGATAACACAAACCATACAAGACGCACTTAAAGAATACTTCGAGTTAAACAAAGACTCTGTAACATCTATAGGAACACTCTGGGCGGTACACAAAGCTGTCATAAGAGGCAAGCTAATCGTAGAAGCTACAAGACACAAAAAGCTAAAACTAAAGGAACTCGAGGCCCATCTAATCTCCATTAGAACCCTTGATGCTCAACATAAGCAACACCCCACCCCAACACTATCAGCCCAAATAAAAACCCACCAACAAGCCATCAAATCATATTTGACCAAAGACTCACTAAAAGCCCTCCAGTGGAGTAAACAACTCTTTTATGAGAAATCAAATAAGGCAGACACCCTCCTAGCCCGCAAACTCCGCCAAAAATCACAAACTAAACGGATTACTGAAATAAAATCCCCGGGGGGCAACACTCACAAAGATCCCAACGACATAGCGTCAATATTCTCCAACTACTTCAGATCATTCTACGACCACAATCCGGACCCCTCTCTAACCCTGAAACAAGACATCGAACTATACCTTCAAAACATCCCCCTCCCATCCCTAACAGACACCGCAATAGCAACACTGTCAGCCCCCTTCACGACAGAAGAAATCGCCAACACATTAAAAACTATCAAACCAAACAAATGCCCCGGACCAGATGGCTTCACAGGCCTATACTATAAGACATACGCGAATGTTCTCATACCCCACCTCACAGCTCTAGGGAACTCACTACTACAGGGGGACCCACTCCCAAGGGAGATGCTCAAAACAAACATCTGCCTCTTACCGAAACCCGACAAAACACATTTAGACCCAGGCCACTACTGACCCATATCCCTACTTAACGTGGACACAAAGATAATCACAAAAACTTTAGCTAACCGAATACAACCCCTCCTCCCAAAACTAATACACCCTAACCAGGTGGGCTTCATACCCACGAGACAAGCAGGAGACAACACAAGACGTATGATAGATCTAATATGGGTAGTCCAAAGTAGGAAAATCCCAACCCTTCTTTTATCAATGGATGCGGAAAAGGCCTTTGATCACCTATTATGGCCATTCTTATTTGCCACCCTCCAAAAATTCAAATTCCCACCACCCATTCTCCAAGCCTTACAGACCCTTTATGCCCAACCAACGACCACACTCCTCATACCAAACGCCAAACACCCAGAATTCACAATTAAAAATGGGACGAGACAGGGCTGCCCACTCTCCCCACTCCTATTTGCCCTATCCCTCGAACCCCTCCTCCAAAACATACGTAGAGAACTAGAAATCCAAGGTATCAAGGTCAGGAACGAAGAATACAAAATAGAAGCCTATGCGGATGATATCCTACTCACAATCACGGACCCCTATTGGGATGCAAACTAAACCTAGAAAAAATGGAAGCCCTCCCGATAGGGATACCACAACCAGCTCTCAAACACATACAATTGACCCACCCATTTAGATACAACTTGCAAAGCATTCACTACCTAGGTACGCACCTCCCAGCAGACCTCGATAAAACCTACGCCCTGAACTACACCCCATTACTCCACCAAGCACACCTAGACTTACAAATGTGGGGCCCAATGTCCATATCGTGGCTAGGGCGTATTGCCTCCATAAAAATTAACCTACTCCCATGATTCCTATACTTATTTCAAACCCTACCCAAACTCATATCTAAACACGATTTCAAAACACTCCAAACTAACAAATTCATCTGGTCCAACAAAAAGCCATGTATCAAGAGAACCACAATGTATAAAACCAACAGAACCGGAGGCCTAGGCCTCCCAAACTTCTACCACTACTACCAGGCGGCCCAACTAGCCCAGATACAAAATCTACATGCACAACCGGGATTCAAACTTTGGGTAGACCTGGAACATGACCTCCTGGGGTGAGACCACCCCTCACTACTCTTTTGGGTGCCCAAGAAAGACAGACCACCAACTCCGCATACCACCCTAGCCCTTACAACATCCTTTCACATCTGGGACACCACAACCTCTAAGTACCCCATAATTAACAAACCATCACCTCTCACACCCATTCTAAGAAACAATCAATTCCCCCCAGGCCTCTCGCCCCGAGACTTCGCGAGATACGAGGATAACGGGTTATACAGATTCCTTCACTTCTTCCAAGACCAACAACTCCGACCCTTCCAAGACCTGCCCAACCAGACCCCACTAAACAGATTTGACCACTTTCGATACCTCCAAAGACACAGCTTCCTCAATGAACCACACAACAAGGCCACCGCTAGGCCAACCCAATTTGAAAAAACATGCCTGCACGCACCCATACAAAAGGGACAAATCTCCACCATATACCTCCTCCTAAATGCCAATTCCATGGAAGACACCCTTGCATACACGAAGGCGTGGGAAAAAGACATAGGCCCCCCCAGAGGACCCATCAGATTGGTCGGACATATGGCATGCTACGGCCTCACTCACCATATGTGTGAATCACAAGGAACAGGCATACAAGACCCTACTCAGGTGGTACCTCACACCCCTGAGAATGAGACAGATGGGCAGGGCAACCACGGACTCATGCTGGAAGGGATGCGGGCAAAAGGGCACCTACATCCACCTTTGGTGAGAATGCCCACAGACCTCACAAATATGGGAAAAAGTGTCCACCCTAGCATCCAACATACTTAATATGGACATACCCAAGGACCCCTGGGTGTGGCTACTTTCCAAACCACACCCCCCCCCTTACCA